ATTAAGCTTCAGTGAATGCTTCTTACTGGCCTTCATGGCCTATGACCACTTTGTGGCCATCTGCAATCCACTTCTTTATGCCATTGCCATGCCCAAGAGGCTCTGTGTCCAGCTGGTGATAGCTTCCTATGTAGCTGGTTTTGCGAATGCCATTGCACATGCTGGTAACACCTTTCGACTACGCTTCTGTGGAGAAAATGTCATCAACCACTACTTTTGTGATGTGGTGCCACTTGTGAAGATGGCCTGTGATGACACACAAGTATATGAATTCATTCTGGCTGCCCTTAGTAATATGTTAGCAACCACAGTTGTAATTCTGAGCTCCTATATTAGTATTGGGTCAGCCATAGTGCGCATCCGCTCGGCTGCAGGGAGATGCAAAGCCTTTTTCACTTGCTCTGCTCACTTGGTTTCAGTCACCCTCTTCTATGGTTCCATTCTTATTATGTACTGTAGACCCCACTCTCAACACACTCCGAATTCAGACAAGGCAAATGCGTTGTTCTATGCCAATGATGGCTAACCTTTTCAGCTTGGTGTGTCGAAAATCGGGAAAAAGTGTAGCCTTCCTCGGGTCATGTGTCACTTCAAGAAATATCAATAATTTGGTAATATTTGCAGCCCTAATAAAGAAAGAGTTATATTTTTAATATTTTTATTATATTTATTAGTTCAAAAAGCAAAAAACAAATAATGATTTACCTTAGTGACTTTTCTGTTGCTGAATTGCATTTGCTAAATCTTCAATTGCAGGGTTGTATTTTGTGCACTTCAGGGCCAAGCAAGTAGTACAAAAATGGCATCATAGGAACAGGCTTATTCTCAGTCCAAAGGTTTGTTTCTGATTTCTTCCCTGATTTAAGGGAAATTTGGGAAACAATCTCACTATCATGAAAGGTTTAATTGATTCATTAACCTAACGGAAGATGATGATGATGACAGTGGGAGGCAGGAGTCACTCTCTCCCTTGCAAGAAAAAAGCAAGAGCCGTTCTTATGATCTCTCTCTCTCTCTCTCCCCGGAATACAGTCAAGCCCTCTCCAGCACGCGCGATCCGCCCCTGCCGCTTAAAGTCAACGTCCTCGCTCCCACCCATCCACCCACCCAAAGCGACGAAGTCCCCCATTCGCGCAGCCCAGAATCGCCCTCCCCTCAGGGGGCAGCAAAGATGCCTGGCGTTTCCCGAGACAAGAAGCTCAGCCGTGCAATGAAAGCGCCCTGGATCTAGGCTCGTGGGCTCAGAAAACAATGCGAGCCAAGGTGGCTTTGGCTCCGCTTGGCTTCGTTTCTTCAGCCCCAGCTGCTTTCAGTCCACTCGGGAGGAGGGGGAGGAGGTGGTGGCAGTGGCTCGCGTTGTTTTCTGAGCTCTAGGCTCGCAGGCTCGCGGGCTCAGAAAACAACGTGAGCTGCCGCCACCTCCTCCCCCTCCTCCCGAGCGGACCAACAGGTGTGTCAGTCAAAGTGCCTCAGCGTGTCACGAGTGACACATGTGTCATAGGTTAGCCATCACTGTTCTATACGGTAATCAACCCTCTGGTCAACCCTTTAATTTATAGCTTACGCAACAAAGATGTGAAAGCAGCCTTCAAGAAAGTCTGGGGGAGATTCACAGTACCCAAATGAATGTTATTGATATTATATTTCTCCAGACTGGATTACAGACAAATTAAGCCCCAGCTATACTGTCAGCTTTTCTTCTTTTCTTCCTTCCTTCCCTCCTTCATAAAAGATGGTGAAGACCCAAGAGATTACTGCAAGAATTAACCATCTTCAATCCTCAAAAATTTCCACACTTACTTCTCATTGTGAGCAACTGTGTCCAAATATACGAATCTTCCCATTCCTCATCCTACTTTACAACTCAGCATGATCATAATAAAATCATTGGACAATGAGAAGCTGGAGAAAAAGTTTGACTTCAAGCTAAGAATTAACAAACTGAAGACAGCTCTTTTGTGGCAGAATGAAGAACTGATGAATAGACTGGATTTTTGTAAATTCTCTCTTGACAAGGAAAAGACTTCAGATCACCCACAAATGCTCTACTGAATAAAGTTTTTCTTCACAAGGATCCAGCACTGGAAGGTTTAGAGCTCTGGGAGATAACACTATAATATCTTGCCCAAACCATGTTTGGCACCTTTAAAAGAACACCAGGTTCACCTATGCTCTTCTCTAATCACTTTAAGAAATTGCTTGTTCATTGTGATTAAAGTTAAAATATAGATGTTATTCTTGTGTTAAATTTGTGAAGGAATTTATGAGAGGGGACAAAGAGAAAATGAAACAAATCAACTGGTGCAATGTTGTTTGAAAATTTTAACTTTCAATTAAATTACTATTTTTAAAAAGAGAGAAAGTATGAGTTCTCAGGAGGATGTACACTTATGGATTAAAGGTGTGCTTAATTGCCTCCCAAACTCTACTCACAATTTGGAAATTACCTTCAGGGCCCTGCTTCATTGTCACATTCATATAAACATTCCTCCACTCATGATTATTTTAAAAAGTATACAGCCTTAATCACATTGCCCCCAAACCAAATCTTTTCCTGCCTCAGCAATCTGGCTGGACAGCCTTTACTGGTTTCATATGGGATAATTTAAAAACAACAATTGATGTATTTCTTCAGCTTCACTTCCTCCCCTACCAACAAGGATCACCCATTAAAAGAAGAGAGATGAAAATCAGCAACTTTATTCTTTATTGAAGGGTGTAATGGGGCTACCTAAGTGAAGGCAGGTAGATGGGGGTCAAGGATCGACTACCTTTCAATTTACCAGAGTGACAGGATAGAGTAATTGTCGTTCAGTCTATTGCCGAACAGGGTGTTGCACTCTTTGCCATGACTGAAAAGAACTATTTCTCCCTTCCCTCCTTTCTTGAGACCTTCAACAATAAAACCTCAGGAAGAATCTTGAAAGGGAAAGAAAACTACAGGCAGCACCTCCATCCCAGAGACTAAGTGAGAGACACACACACACGTATCATAAGCATACACACTTCCATGACAGCTTTGCCTATTCCTGTTTCTATAACTAGTGATTTCCCACTCTTTGAAAAGAGCAAGAACTGGGTTTGCAAGGAATCCACTTAACATACAATAATGAACATGGCAAGCACCTAGCAGTCATGACAAGGAGATCTGAGATGCTTCCGTGGAAATCATGCGCCTGTTTTTCCTTCCAGATAAAATGGCCAAGGAAGATGGGAAGGGGAACCTGAAGGAGGTAAATCACCACCCACAATACATCAATATTGATCCATAACAAGCTTTCCAGGAGACATGCAGTGACGATAGTTCAGGAACTTGTGATCATTTAAATCACCATATGTCCCCCAATAGAAAACAGAGTTTGATTTACAACTGGAAATCACATGCAGTTGATGCCCAGCCATGCCTGAACATATCATCCCTACCCTTACTGACTGTCATGTAACAGACTTATTGGTTGTCATTACAGGCTGTCATGTGACAGACTTCAGCCGATGCCATGAATCATGATCCTGACATGTTTAGACATGTGGATAAGGAGTAGTATTCCTTGCTCTTGGGTTGGAGGGGAGGTGTGTGCGTATTTTTGTTACTGGTTAAATTATGTTGAATTAAACCATAGCTTGCTAGTGGGGAAATAAAATCTGATACAGAAACTGCTTCAAAATGTTTGTGTGTGTGAATATTCTTCTTTAAATTCAACTTTGCAAAGCTGTGCATTTGTGTGTGTGTGTGTATGTGTTTCCTACAAAGAATTTGCCAAACTTTAACTTTTAGAAACATAAGTTGGAAAAAAAAAGGGGGGGGCTGATTTCAAAAGCTCCCCAAAATAGAATATTTTTAAGAGATGTAAGGCACCATTTTTTAAAAAAAAATCCACCATATTTAATAGGTCTTTAGGCTTTTCTTTGTTTTATAATTCAGAAATTGGAGTTTATGTCCAAAATATGATGAAGCCATAATTATTCACTTTAGTTAGTTTGGATTTTGTTGTAGTTGAGCAATGAGAGGCTGAACCTGTCAGCCTCAAGATCTTTTCGGGTACCCCAACAACTATCCTTTATT